GGCACCAGCATCGTTTTGGCATGTTCCAGCGAGCTAAGGACAGAGAGGACGGGGAAGGGTTGACAGATGAACCCGTTGATCGTTTGATGCCGGCATTTTCTTTTCATGGCTAGTGTCTAGCAGCGCTAGCATTTGGAAAGTATATTAATTATATATTATATATAACTCCAATTCCAACCAGACTCTGTGTGGCGTCAAGACAAGCACCCGCCTTTCTTTTTTCAGAATCAACATGTTTCACTTGATGTTCACTTTCTCTTCCACTGGTCCGTTTTTGAATCAGGTATTCGGCGAGCTGCCACTGCACCAGTGCACATCTTTACGTGTGAGCGTCGTTCAGGACATGTGTGCCGTACGTGCTTACGGCCGGTCCCTCAACGACCTTAAGGCGCTCACCCGGCGTCTTGACTGTGAGCGGAGAAGCGACTTGGCCCCGAGAGAAGCAACTTGTTTGGTGGGCTTTTCCGAGAAGCTTCTGGTAGCTCCTGGTTACTAGTAGCAAGAAGCTATTATTAGCTGAACATGTCAGAAAGGGACGGCTGGGATCGGGATCGAGCAGCCGAGGCTTAACGAAAAACTCCGTTTTGGCCACTCTGCTGGTCACAGTCTGCAGACGGATACTGCCGGTGCGACAGATCAATCCTTCGGAGCTGACGAACATACCGGCAACTCAGATGACAGCAGAGATGCTATTCTCATTTGCCTGTGCAATGACTCTTGGAATCATCTACCCACCCCTGCGCGAAGCACATAGCAGAAGGGCATGGCTGTTGGCAGTTCAAGCTTTGTGCTGCCCGTGTTCATAGTTCATAAGGGGGGCACTGTGAAATACTTTTGGTGTTAGACTTATGCCTGATGAGCCGAGGCTTCATACGAAGGCTGGAAGGGTTTGTTGTCGCCTCGGCATTTGTCAGCACGAGACATTCAACCACCTGCACAAACCAAAAAGACCGTCAGCGTGAACCAGGATACTTGCAGATCTTGGATTTCTATTTCTTCTCGGTCACACAGCGGCAAGGGGCAGAATCCAGGGGCATAATCCGAATGTGTTGATGCTTTGATATGAGGGAAAGTCCAAAATTATTGCTCACTCAGCGATGTTGTCAAGTTAGCAAAACGAACATCCAACGTCTTTCAGTTTGACCATCTCTCTCTCTCTCTCCTTTTCTATCTAGTCTCATGTTATGAAGTGATTCGTCCCTTCTCTTTGGGTTCGTTTTCTGGTTGGCCATCGTGATGCCACCACTCCAGAAGAGCGCTCCGAGGACGCCAGCCTCTACTGCTTCGGAGAGCACTTCTCGGGGCCGAACTGGTTTACTCGCCTGAAGCGGAATGTGGCGATCCTGTCTGTGTCAGATGCAGATGGGAACTGCCCCTCAGCGACTAGTTGTTAGTTGTTCGGTCTTGGTTCCGGCCGGTTTGCTTGTTGCGTTGCTTGATCCGAGCCTTTCATTTCTTCTACCTCATGCTCAGGGGTAAGACCTGGTTTCTGGTGTCGCCTGGCTGCGCAGGTGTCTACAACAACTTCGCAGTTAGCGGTGTCTTGCTTGCACGCGAAGCCGTTCTCTGTCCAAGGTCATGTCCAGGAGCGCGGCCTCAGAGTTTAGACTCGACTGTAGACTTGTGACACAACCCCCACGGATACAGAGATAATATAGATACTGTGTTGTAGATCAATAACACTATATATATAGACATATAAATGAATAAATGGATAAATATATATATATATATAACCTATAACCATTTCCATTTATACATGAGATGATCTAGATTGGGAAGTCCCAGAGGCTGGATCTTTGGGGCTGGATGATGCTTTGCATTCGTCCACGATCAACCGAGCTGAGGTGAATACAAGACCCCTGGTGCTCCGTTGGCGCCCGATGGGGGCCCTCTGCAGTCCATCGAAGCAGCGGAGTCTTGACGCGTTTGGGGCGGAGACCCCTCCCTTGCCGCGGACCTTGCTGCAGAGAGTAGTGATGGTTGGAGGGAAAGCAATGCTTTTGTCTGACATCCCTACTGCTGTTTTCCTGGGTTGAAGGATTTTCTGCCTTCTGGGCCCTACCAGCCCTACCATTCACCGGAGCATGTGCAAGTCAAGTTGTTGCTTTCATCAAGGTGAAACCCAAGGCCTCGAAAACCAAGACGCTGGAAGAACTTGAAGCAATCACCAAAAGTGAACAGCTCAAAAAAGAATGGCCGGTGCACTGCATGCCCAACTTCATGGTGCACTTAGGATGAGAATGGCCGTGTCTTCGACCGGAGGCATGATGCCGATGCTTTGGCACACATTGATGCTGAGAGGAGAGCTGTCAAGGCCACGAGGGCCAAGGCTACAGGTAAGAATATGGAAGAAAGTATTTTTGAAGGTGAGGCTCCAAATGAAGGGAATGTGTACACTGGAAAGTGGCCTTTTCAGGCCCGCCTGCCATGACGCTGCCATGACATGTCTTGACTTGCCACTAAGGAGTTTAAGCTGCTGACTGGCCTTTGTCACTTGGACAGTTTTGGCCAAGTTTTTGCGGATTACTGAAGCAAGATCCCAACCATGTCTTGTTTGTTCGCCCTTATTCTGAGGTTCCGATCTGTCAGTCTCCAGGCCTTCCAGCCTACCATTGTCTCCCAGCCGAGGCGGCGCGGTGCCGGCGGAGAAGCGACCGACCTGGAGCGCCTCCGCCACGCTGTGGTCAAAGAAACCCCTCTGCCGCAGCTGCGCGGGCGCGGTGAGCTGCTCGACTTGAAATTGTGTCAACATGGGGGCCAGTGCTGAGATGGATAGAACCTCCTGGAAACGGATAGGGGGTTACTTTAGTGAGTACTGTATCCCTTACTGTAAGTCTTTATATAAGTCATTGTTCTGCAATGCTTTCAATGCAACAGGGCCTTGCCACTTAACAATCAATTGATTGTACTGTATTGTCGGGAGGGGTGCTTGCTGAAGCCCCTTGGAAGGCGACGTGGACAGGCCGGACAGGACACCTCGCCCGAACTGAGGTCAAGTCGAGGGCCTCTTCCCGCGCATGTGCCTGGGTGAAGCGGGATGGGCCGGGATGGGCGTCATCCGTCTCATACTCCAACTACAGAGGGCACTTCCTAAGTGCCATGGATTTTGGTCGGTGGTTTCCATTGGGGCTCTCAGTTATATAACAAAGTAGGCAGATGTTTTGTTTGAGGTCTGCCTACTTTGTTGATCAGGAGCGTGGCCATTGTGGTTGGAGAGCCCAAGACGGAGGAGGATGGCTCTGAGGCGGGTGGCCGGCCACTTCCGCAGTCTCCTGGCGCAGACATCTTCGACATTTACGTGGGGAAGGGCCGATTCAGAAAGTCCAACGCAATGAGATATGAATTATACTATATAATACAACTCCTTGAACTATATAAACAAGACAGGAAGTCTGTTCAAAGCGCTGTTTGAAGGGGTGTCGCAGAAATCTTCAGGCCTCTCGGGGGATTGGGTGAACAAAGGCTCCTGCATCATTGTGAGTGAGGTCTGATGTTTTTCATTTCCACCATTTTCCTTCTAGTTTTAGGGTCGGCCGGGTCAAGAGTGTTTTGCGAAGGCCAATGGGCCTGAGTCATGGGCCTGAGTCATGGGATTGGAGCCCTTGACATGCGCTGTCGTTTGAGCAGGTGCCGAACGGCAAAAGGCTGAAGGTCAATGGCTTTCGAGTGGAGCCCAGCCGTTCCGTGGGCGAAGTGAGTGTGAGCACTGGCTGATGACAAAGGTCCGCACCTTTGTCTCACCAAAGAGGAGCCCGTCCTGCGGAGAAGCAAACTGTTGCATCATCAGCTTGGCGGCCTCTCTAGCCGAGCGGACCTAGAATGGCTGTACGTAGTCTACGTAGTAGCTTTTTCTTTTTCCCTTTTGGTGAGTTGTTAAAGTGCCATCAAGTGCAATCACTTCATGAATTGTTCTGTTGACTCCCAACAGGTTGCTTCGCCTGGCATCCTCAGAAGCAGGCAACCTTGGACTGGCCGCAGGTTTCAATGCAAGAGACACCTGGCTTGGTAGAACAGCACCTCACGCCATCAGAGACACCTGGCTGACGCCTCACGCCTTGATCAAAGAGGTTGGTGGCAAAATTAGCCAGGCCGACCAGGCCTCTTGCTACTCTTGCCGCTTGCTGTCAGCACGACTTAGCCAAGCCTCCGGGCTTGATCTTGCCTCACCCTCCGAACGTGCGCACGGGTGCCGTCGAAAAAGAACAGGTTCAGAGAGATCGGGATGAAAGGTTTTCGCTGCACCTGGATGGCGCATTCTCACCAGCACAGCAAAGCTTATACATACTGTGCGCCCCAGAGATTGGGGGATGTTTCGCTGCTCCAGGAGTTGGCCCTGAAGAAGGCATTTGCCGAGATGGAATGGAGAAGTGTTCTCCTTGGTCGTTTTCGAAGAAGCCCTTTTGGCCACCTCCACCTAGACTTTTTCGTAGGCCTTTTGGCCACCTACCAGTAGCTCACTAAATGCCCCCCCCGACGCGGACTATTTCTCTTGTACCCGGGCCGACACTTGGGTTTCAAACACCCTTGTGGCCTTGAGGGAAAGGCCCTCAAACAGAGGCCATGCTCGCAGTGTGCGTTCTTCCTGCACCGTCCGAAACGGCAGTTTTCAACGCTGCACCGTTCGTCCAGCGCTGCAGGTAAGAAAAAAGGGGCAGGAGGGAGTCTCCCAGTGGCCGTTGTCTTCCGGGTGTAGGTTCCCGGGCAGGTCCTGGGTGAGTGGAACGACCCGGGTCTTCACATGTGGAACGACACCGGTCTTCGCGTGGTTCCATGCATGGAGCATGAGAGTGGAATGCTTCCCCAAGGTGAAGCTTGACAAGGTTGGGACCTCAGAGGCGTCAGGGTTCTGAAACGTCCTTCGGCTTCTGGTTCTTCCAAGTGACGCTTGACTTCTCCCACCCGTCTGGTTTGCTGTGCATGTACTACTGTGGGGGCACCGAGGCGCGTTGTTTTTTTTTTTTCACATGCGTTGATCAGATGCCGCGGCTCGGCTCCTGCAAGCGGCTTGGCTCAGACCCCTCGTGGCACTGCGGCTTTTGTCCCAACGGTCTCCAGCAGGTCTTTGGCCCCAGACGGATGGATGGATGGGGCACAGCCACTCGGATCGGCTCCGCAATGTCACAAATGGCCTATGCATTAATATAGATATAGATAATTAGTCCAGATTGATCGCCATTGGCTGAGGCATGATGACCATCTCAGGACAGGAGAGGGGACTGGACAACCTCCATTCTCTCCAGGGTGGGGGGCAAGTGGTTCCGCTGCTGCGTGAGGGGATGACCGGCAAGTGATGAACATGCACTGAAGCGTGTCGCCGACATTGGTCCGTAAACATCAACGCCAATAATCACATGTTTTGCCAAGTTTGTAGAGTTTGTTTTGGCCTTTGATTCTAGCACCCCCCCGCTTTCGATGCCAAGCAGTAGTGGGGGGCCGAGCCAGCTCGGTAGCCTAGGCCATGTGGAGCTTATCACTCGAGACGCATGACTCGGCCGTGCAGGCTGGCAGCCGGAGCCCGCCCGCCATCCACGAACGTTCGTTCACCCTGAGGATGCCGCCAGAACGAAAACGGGCGTGTTTAAACCCACGAAAAACCGGGGCGAGATGATGGGACTGTTGCACCGGGTCAATTGGTTGGAGTGATTTTCAAGCAGTCAACAGTTTGCAGGAATTTGTGTTCTGTCACTGGCCAACCAGTTGGATTTCGCAGACAGAAGCTCGGAGTTTGGTCACCCTGCGCCCACCTTGCACTGGTTGCAATGGATCCTGTGCACAAATGATGCCAACTAGGCTTTCAACAAGTTGACTGTTAGAGTTTAAGGGCTTATTCCCTTCTAGAGTCTAGAGCCGACAGAGTTGTTGACGTCGTTGAGCTCGTCAATACCTTCCATAGGGACGTGGGATGCTTCACACGATGTGGCAGGCTGCCGTCGCCTCGAATGTCATAGCGCCACCTGCTTTGTCCTTGGAACAGGTCGTGGAGATGCAGGTGGGTCCGGGGTATATGGGTTGAATGAAGGATGGTGAATGAGCGGAGCCAACACCCCCTCTTGGGGGTTCTTGTCATTTCGAGGTCAGTTTTGGGTGCGTGTGTGTGGGTTTGGGTGTGTGAGTGGGTTTGGGTTCGGGTCGACGCTTCAGAGTGACTGGCGCAGGAAGCGGAGATTGCTGCATACTCCAAGCCCGAGTTTCAGCACCTTAGACTGATTCGTTAGGGGGCCACTCCGACTTCGAGGCAGATTTGCCAGAACTTGGACGAACTCAGGAACCAACTGTGGAAGATCTTGGAATCAGCACCACCAGAGGAACACGCTCATTTGCGCCAGCAACTCTGTCGCTTGGAGGGAGCACCGTGTTGTTTTTGGCGGTTCTTGCCGAGAGGTTCTTAGATCCTGCTGTTCCAATGTGCTTAGTTTCGAAGTACGAAGTTACCACACACTTGATGACCAGACACTGCAGTGGCCGGGAGTCATGGGAACTCGACATGAACATGTGCCGTTGAATGGTCTGTGCTAGTGGCTCTATTCCACGATTCCCGGCTTGCCAACCAGCACGTCACGAGACGTTGGGGCCGTCGGGAAGCGCGTTGGGTCTAAGGCCTTGATGTTCAGGTGTCTTGGCGTGGTCTTCCGTGAACTTCTTCGGCGAATGTTCAGGGCCAGCGCCAGTGGCTACCTCCAACATGTGACATTGAGGTTTTCTTTTTCGTCATAACTTTGCATGTATCCTGGGTCACGTTCGCCCAGGTGTTGGGCGGAGAGTCCCCAAAACCGACAATAAGCGGCTCTGAAAAACCAAGGCGCCTGCGTCGCCGCTTGGCGCCCCCGCCTCCCCCCAAAACACCGATCACGAGGACGACTGAAAGGACGACGGAAAGGACGGAACACCCGAGCGAGCGACGAACCTCGACGGTCGCTCCCAGCGTTGAGCTCACCGCGCTTCAGGTCCCCTTGGTGGCTTCCATGGGCTTTGAGCCCACCGCGCTGGGGGTCTGCCAGGCGACCGAGGCAGTGCTGCAGTTCCATGGCGAGGGGAAGGCGGGGAGAGGACCATGAAGGTTTGGATGGGAGGGTTTGGGAGATGGGAGGATCATTGGAGGGGATGGAAGTGGAAGCTTTGTGGGGGGATTGAATCTTCGAACGACCCAATCTCCTTTGGAGCTGCGGTCGTGCCGCTGCATGCTGCGTTCGTGCCTTCACCCGGTTCCGCTTCATGGCTCAGTGGACGCAAATGGAAAAGATGCTTGTGCCAAGCTGCCACTGAGATGCACAAATGCCACTGACGGAATGGAAGACACAGTTGTTTCCACCCGACCGAGCTGTTTGCATGAACCATCATGAAAAGAGGGTCGCATTACCGCTACTTCATATCAAGGATGTTGACACCGCTGCTTCTCGTTGTGTTGATGGAGCCAGTTTGCCTGGGGTTCAACTGAAGATCACCCGCTGAGGATGTGGCCCCATCAAAAAGATGGCTGTGGCGGCAGTGATGCGCCTCGGACGTTGGTCCGGGCCGACGAGTTCACTCTCTGACTTCTCGGTGAGTGAACAAGTAACGTTGGCATTATGTATGACATGACAGACAGTGGCTTCAAAAAGAGTTGGGCGATTTCCAACGTCTTGGGGTTGCGAAATGCTGCGCCGACACGGCCCAGGGCGCGCCGACAGGAGGCAGAAACACCGAAGGCTGGGAACGTCGACTTTGGGCATATGTGTTTTGGAAGACCCACCCACAGATCTACTTGTGTCACACCAGTTGCTGCAGCTAGGCCCATTCAAGACCTGTAAACTTGCGACCTTGGATGGATGCGGGGGTCTCACCAAGACTTGTCCTGAAAGGAATGAAGCTCAGGTGTTCATCTTGTTGGTATGGTTTTCGAGCACCGTAGGGTTTGGCCCAATTCTATCTATTGAACGTAGCTTCGCGCGGTCATCGGAATCATCCAATATTATTGGTTGTGCTTTTTGCACAGCACAGGCTAGTGAAATTCTCCCATTGAATTACTAAGTGAACAAATGCAGACTTTGTTGCACAAAGCGCTCACCGACACAAAGCTCACGAGCCCCGCCAGGTGGTTTCGCTGACGGTGGCCACTCCCAGTAGCCCCAGCCGCCCGAGCTCCGCGTTCTCCACTCGGAGCTTCAGGGCATCTGACCAGGGAGCCAAGGCAGGAGGTTTTCGACCAGAGGAAGGTGATTAACGGTGGCCCGGTGGCTTAAAAAGTACATACGGTATATGACATACGATATATGACATACGATATGACATGATCTGTAATCATATATGGACCTCCTCGGTACCTACCAATGATATACTGTAACAGAAACGCTGTTTGGTACCAAATTTGACTATCCAGCTTTGAATCGCTGGCACAATCAAGAGCGTTTAAAGCCTAGACAGCACCTTTCACTTGCAGCTTCAAAGCTCACCTGTTGTTTCACCTGAGCTTGCAATGTGTGTGTGTGTGTAACCTTTGGAGTCACAAGGTTACTTTTGGAATGTCTCCCTTTACAGCAGGGGGCGTGACGGTCGATTTCCTAGTCACGCCAATGAAGCTATGGAAACTGACTGGATGGAAGTTTGGACGCAAACTTCCGTGCCTGCTGGTTAAACTTTTAAACTTTTGAACAGCTGCTCGCTGTCACTATTGTTTTGCTTGTTTTGCTTGTGCATACTACCTACCACCTACTAGCGACGGCCTCCAACCTTACGCGGTGGCCTCCAACTTCCTTGCGATGGCCTCCAACCAAAAAGCGATGGCCTTTAACTTACTACTTGTCACTTTTGTTTTGCTTGTGCATACTACCTACCACCTACTAGTGACGGCCTCCAACCTTAGGCGTTGGCCCCCAACTTCCTGCGATGGCCTCCAACCAAAAAGCGATGGCCTTTAACTTACTACTTGTCAGTTTTGTTTTACTTGTGCATACTACCTACCACCTACTAGCGACGGCCTCGAACCTTAGGCGCTGGCCTCCAACTTTCTCGCAATGGCCTCCAACCTAAAAGCGATGGCCTTTAACTTACTACTTGTCACTTTTGCTTTACTTGTGCATACTACCTACCACCTACTAGCGACGGCTTCCAACCTTAGGCGCTGGCCCCCAACTTCCTTGCAATGGCCTCCAACCTAAAAGCGATGGCCTTTAACTTGCTACTTGTCCTCCTGGTATCTCAGGTTTTTTAACTCTGGCCGGTGTGTGGCACCGCACTCGCACCAGTACGGATTTCTACAAATGTGTCTGGCTTCATGCCAGCCCAGGGTGCCCCGAAGAGTGGCCCCTGTGGACCCGTCGAAGGGGGGTTTTTTGAACGTACCCCATGCCCGGATACAAAGCAGCTCGCAGCGAGCGTAGGTGGCCTAGGCCAAAGTCATTTGCCAAGATTTGACGGATTATTGAATTCCAAGCTGGCCGCCATTTTGGCATGCCTTTAGGTGACCACAGCGGTCTCAAGTCGCCCGCCATTTTGGCATGGCACAAGGTGACCAGAGCGGTCAAAGCAAGTTGAAGGTTCATTGGAACCTGTCGGGGCCTTTGTTTCTTCCTTTCTCTCCTTTTCTTTTTTCCCCCTCTTCTCTCCTGCGTAGCGTACTTACAAGCAAACCATGCTTTTGCAACAGGTTTTTCACGCCTCTTCATCCTCATCCTTTTCTTTCTCTTGTGCGCACTTTCGTCCGGACCTTAGCTTGCACACATACACGCACGTGTATTCTACTTACAACTAGGTTCAGGTGGCCCAGGCTTGTTACAATGAGGTTTGGCTCATCGGTTGTCCCTCTTCACTGGGTTCTTCTTCATCGGCAACCACACACACTTTTTGTCTGTCTCGTCTTTCTCATTTCATCTGCCTCCTTTGCTTGCACATGTGCTTCGCATAACCCCCTTTCCGGGCAGGATGGGGGTGTGGGAATGTCTCCCTTTACAGCAGGGCGTGACGGTCGATTTCCTATGGAAACCGACTGGGTGGAAGTTTGGACGCAAACTTCCGTACCTGCTGGTTAAACTTGTAAACTTTTGAACAGCTGCTCGCTGTCACTTTTGTTTTGCTTGTTTTGCTTGTGCATACTACTTACTACCTACTAGCGACGGCCTCCAACCTTAGGCGTTGGCCTCCAACTTCCTTGCGATGGCCTCCAACCAAAAAGCTGTGGCCTTTAACTTACTACTTGTAACTATTTTTTTGCTTGTGCATACTACCTACCACCTACTAGCGACGGCCGCCAACCTTAGGCGTTGGCCCCCAACTTCCTTGCGACGGCCCCCAAGCAAAAAGCGATGGCCTTTAACTTACTACTTGTCACTTTTGTTTTACTTGTGCGTACTACCTACCACCTACTAGCGACGGCCTCCAACCTTAGGCGCTGGCCTCCAACTTTCTTGCAATGGCTTCCAACCTAAAAGCGATGGCCTTTAACTTACTACTTGTCCTCCTGGTATCTCAGGTTTTTCTCTCAGGCCGGCGTGTGGCACCGCATTCACATCAGTGCTCATTTCTATATATATATATGTGTGTGTGTGTGGTGGTTTATGAAGTCACATTGATTTGATTTGGCCCTTTGCATGCCCACAGCACCAAACAGCGTTACGGCTTCAAGAAGAAGAAGAGAAAAAAACAAGAGGAAGAGGAAGAGGAAGAGGAACAGGAAGAGGAAGAAGAAGTGCTTGCGCAAAGCCGAGCATGGAAATCACAGCACGTTTGAAAAGTCTTGCCACTGGACCACGTGGATCATCCGATTTTGCATGTCCTTTGCACCCACTTCTTTGGCAGGTTCAGTCGTTCGTTGGGGATGACGACTGGCGGGAGAAGCAAGTCTCCAAGGCCGGTGCACTGTTGGGCTGTTCGGCGGTTTTTTCACGCTGATTCACAGCACGCTCAGGCGGTCTCGGTCTATTCCAGCAAACGAGAAGTTGCAGATGATGAGTTTCAGGAGATTCTGCAAGAGCAAGGACCTCTTCTCGTTGTTCGATCTGCGACTTTTTGAGCAGAAGGCTCCATTTTTGAGCTCGGTGGTTCATAGCGCAGTGACAAAAAACAACTTGCGAATGTTGAACTGTTTCATTGCTCCACCAAAGCCTCCCGCTTCTTTGGATGAACGAAACCTGAACATCAAGGATGGACCAAGTAAAGTACTTGTCACATACAACTTTTTCATACTTTTTCTGTGGATCATTTCGCATGAGGAAGCGCCTGCATGTTGAAAGTCCCCTAAATTATGAGATCAGCGATTTTGCCTGTGAATGCTGTTCAGTTTCTTGACTGCAACCAGCAACTAGACCTATGCAACCACCACCATTAGGCCTCCACGCAGCGCCAGGAGTCGCTGATATCAAGACCGAAGAGGAGGAAGTTACGCCCAGAGTCCAGTTAGTGGAGACGACGGAGCGCCAGTGAGGGTTGGGATCTGGTCGAATGCATGTACATTTTTCTCAATTTTTGTGTGTGCGTGAGGCGGGGCTACCGGCATTTCCCACTCTCCGGTTCCATGTGGGATTCGAGTTGGCATGCCGATGAGTGCCCAAGCGCCGAAGAGTCTAGAGAATGTCCAGAATTAGGATTTGTTCAAATTGACCTACCGGGAGGTCTCCTCCAAACTGTATTTTACAAGTCAATTTGTACGAAACCAAATGCCGGACTTCTTTGGGTAGAGACGTGTAGCGTGCAGCAGTTGCCACCTGTCACATCCAGAGTATGTTGAAAAAAACGTAGAGAGAAAGATCACCTCCCTTGGACCTCTTGTCTTGAGACACTTGGTGACATGTTTTGAGCCTGGGTGACCATGTCCTGTAGATTCAGACTGTGCGGCACTGCAGGCTTGTTTAAAGATACATCCGTCTGTTCGTTACGAGATTTCCGTAGCTGTTGCTGGTGCCCTGTTCAGGTTCTCAGAGAGACGGGTGTTGATAGATGGCTAAGCGTCCCAGTGCTAGGATGATACCTCCAGAAGGAAACTCCCCTTGGCGGTTTCCCTCGGTCTCCCCGGGTGAAGGAGTTTGAGTCGGGCATCGGCGTGATGATCGCCATCAATGCGGTGCTG